AAACTTGCTAATAAGTTCAAAGTTAAAGTTTTTTATTAATAAACTCGTTTTTTAAATATTTTAATAGTACACATATAATATAATAAAAAATAATTAATTATAACAACCATTCTTTAAAATTTTGATTTTTTTATTACTGTTGATAAAAATCAGATGATATTTAACAACAAACTCTATTGTTTTTTTATAAGATAATTTCAAATGACAGTAGTTATTTAAAATAATAATTAATTTAAAAACATTAAAATAGATATATAATTATATTGGCATCGATCTTTTTTAGTGTTAAATATGTCAATTGTTACATTTTTCTTGTGTTGAGTTATAAAAAATAGGAAAAAAATTTAAAAATTGGTTTATAAAAATTAATAAATTTAACCATTTTATTATAACAATAATATAACAATTTATTTAAAATAAAAATAATAAAAAAAATATTATTCACTAAACCAAAAAATCTTAAACAATAATTATTTATAGTTTGAAACTATAAATAAATAATAACTTATTAATAAACAGTGTGGGTCAACAATTATAAACTTTTTTAAAAATAAAAAAAATCTCCTTTTCATCATTTTGTTGATGACTCACTTTCCACTCATATCTTGATATTTTGAAATTATCAGAAATAGTTCTTAACAGAATAAACCAACTTAAAATGCCTGAAAATTTGAGAAATTTAGAGACAAATGGAAACATATGCGATGCAACAGCAGCCGTACCCCTTTCAACAAGCCACAGAATTAATGTACTCGCCGATCTACCCACAAATAACTCCAAACCAATCAATCAATCCATATTACCAAACAGAAGTTGTGTCCAACAAACCCGTCGTTGTTTTACCACACATCAACCCTGATGTTGTTGGGCCAGAAAAGCAAACGCAACACACAGACATGATTGCTGTGTTGCTTTACATTTTCGGATTTTTCTGCTTTGGTCTGTGGATCCTTTGCTTTTTACTCTTTTACAAAAGCAGTTCTAAGCGCGCCAGATTATTTGCAAGACTCTCATTCACAACTCTCTTTGTGATTTCTCTTATTCTTGTTTGTGTTGTTTGCTTCCTCATTACTTTCATGTGAATCATCTTATTATATTTACTATTGTGTCAAGTTATTTTAACTATTTTAAAATGGTTCAATAAAACATTTTCTAATAATATTTAATTAAAATTAATATATTTTGTAAATTATTAATAAATATTATAATATTATTATAATTTAACTATTATTAATAACACTTTTTAGTATACAAATTTAATAAATAAAACAAATACCAAAACTATGGTTGAATTAGTTTAGAACCATGATTTTCCAGCAGAGTTCAAGACCAAATCGGAAACCTTGTGAAGGTACAAAGCCTTAAGAGCCTCTCTAGCAGGTCCGAGGTACTCTCTTGGGTCGAATTTGGTTGGGTTTTCAGCGAGGAACTTTCTAATGGCACCAGTCATAGCGAGTCTTCCATCAGAGTCAATGTTGACCTTACAAACAGCAGACTTAACAGCCTCTCTGATTTGGTCTTCTGGGATACCGACGGTGTCCTCGAGCTTTCCACCGTATTGGTTGATGACCTTGACCCATTCTTGTGGGACTGAAGATGAACCGTGGAGGACAATTGGGAAGCCTGGGATTCTTTGTTCACATTCGTGGAGAATGTCCAATCTAATTCTTGGATGCATTCCTGGTTTGAATTTGTAAGCACCGTGAGAAGTTCCAATAGAAATAGCGAGTGAGTCGACGCCAGTGGCCTTAACGAAAGCTTCGACATCCTTTGGATCAGTGAAGACGTGTTGTTCAGCAGCGACATCGTCTTCAACACCGGCAAGAACTCCGAGTTCACCTTCGACAGTGACACCGAATTGGTGAGCGTAGTCACAGACCTTCTTGGTCAATTCAACGTTCTTCTCATATGAAAGAGCAGATCCGTCGATCATAACATTGGAGAAACCATTGTCGACACAAGCCTTGCAAATTTCGAAGTCAGCTCCGTGGTCAAGATTCAAAGAAATTGGGATACCCTTGTGCTCTGGGTCGAGCTCTCTTGAATACTCAACAGCACCTCTGGCCAAGTTTCTCAACAAAGTGGCATTAGCATACTGTCTGGCTCCCTTTGAGACTTGCAAAATGACTGGGGATTTGGCTTGAGTGCAGGCTTGGATGATTGCTTGCATTTGCTCGAGGTTGTTGAAGTTGAAACCCGGGACAGCAAAACCGCCATGAATAGCATGGGAGAACATCTCCTTATGGTTGACTAAGCCAAGCTCTTTGTAATTTGTGGTTTTTTCTGACATTGAAACTCTCTGAATTTCTTGATTGGTGACCCTTTTTATTAGTTCAGACAGGTGGTGACACGAAGTGTGGATGAGATTCTTAATTAACAACTTCCTTCGTAACACATTTCATTGATGGAATATTTCGGGGTTTCTCTTTATTACTTTTTAAAAATTTTAAGGCAATGAAAAGACTTAATTTTTGTGAGGTCTTTTCATCTAAAGGCTTTTTCTTCCCAAAAAGAAAACACGAACTATAATTTTGATTTAATTTATTAATAATATATAGTTTATTTTCATTTTTGGAAGATGGTGATGTTATATCTCCTTTTTTCAACAAATGATATTTGAAGCAATATCTGGATTGTGGTTAACTTTTTTGGAGAAGAAATCTGGTCGTAAATTATTCGAAATTCTTTTTTATATTAATTAATTGTTCTTTAATTTCCCGATTTATTTAACAAAATTAATTTAATTATATATATCTATTTTTTTTTTTTAAATTAACAACAAATAATTATGAAATAAATAAAAAAGAAACGAAAGTAAATATTGTCGCCACAAGTTAAAATTATCTTTGGAGATTTGCCTCGAACTAATCGGGAATTCGAAAATTATATGTTACAATAAAGAACTTTCTATTTAATTACGAGTTGAAAATAATATTATTTTTTCGAAAAAACAAATGGTAAAATAAACTATATCTTAATTATATTTTTATTTAAATCAACAAGTAAAAATTTACAGCTTTTTTTAAACCCCTTCTATTATTTCTTTTACAATTTTTGAATAGTAATACAATTACAGTTAGAGTAAATAAACAGTTAAGAAAATATTTAAGAAAAAGAATTAGACATTACACAATTTTAATATATTATAATAACAATAATAAAATATTATAATATTATAGTTTAATACCTCCAAATTCAACCCATAACAATTATGTAGTTTTGTAATTAAAAATGTTATTCGACGAGGATCTTGTAAAGTGGGTGTTTGACATCGATTTTGATGGTGATATCAACTTTCTTGTAATAGTCATTGTCCAATTTTAGATTTTGAATGACGTCATCAAGCATAATAGCTTTACCGATATTAACATTTGCGCTTTTAAAGAGTGGAGAATAGATTGAGCAGAAGTGGACGTGGAAGTGCCAAAAAGAAGGCAAGTAGTGAACAAACGTGATAATTTCGTTTTTATTGACGCCATACTTCTCAGACAAACACTCAATAGTGTCGTCTCGAATCCTTTCCAACATTTCAATATGACTTCCATCAAGCGAACGAACGGAATGGAGTTTTCTATCTTCGACAAGAACCAACCCATAGATCTCTTCTTTTCTTTGTCTATCCCACTTCATGTCTAAAACAGCCAAAAAATCGTGAGTTTTGAATAACACGTTTTCTTGTTCGGAAACGCCATCCAAAATGTTATAAATCCACTTGAATTCTGTTTGTGGCATATTTTCTATAAATTGGTTTGTTTTAGTGTTATACATCTCTTGCGTTTCTGTAACCATTTTAAAATAATGGGGTTTATTCTTGTCTATATCTCTTTCGGTTGCCGGTGATATCACGTCCACGTTATATCCTGTTGTCATCGTGTCATATTGCATCTCAATAAGATACTTCCGAAACTTATCGTTTTGCATCAAAAGCCCTTGACTAGGGTTTCCCTCAATTTGCTTAATCACCGACTCTTGTTCACTCGCATTAATTTGTTGTTTAGTAATAAAATAAACTATATATGACTCTTGTAAGTGATTTACTAATTTTAAACAAAAACTAACTTGTCTCTTTCTCATTCGCCTTTGACAAAACGGCAACACTCTTTGTATCTTTAAACTCATTGATAATCTCCACTGCCATTTCTCTGTTTATTCTGTTTCTTTTAAAGTTCTAAAATACAACTGTTCTTATTTTTTAGTATATACTGCTATATTTATAGTATCATAAATATCCTCTCAAAATACTTGAGATGAATAATAATAATTGAATTTATTAACTATATTAATAAAACTAACGAAGGTCAATTCTCGGATAAATCCAACTTTTGTCATTCAATTTTTCTTCTCTTTTTTCTCACTCTTTTTTTTCTCACTTCTTTTTTCGCGTCTTTCTCTTTTTTTGATGTTTTGCTTCAAGCTGAACAGAGTCGGTCCGTTCTCTTCTGCAGTAGCGTCGACAATCTTCTGGCAAATCTTTCCGATTTTTTCGTTCAAGTCTTGCAAACCTTCTGGGTTGAATTTCTTAAACAACGCATCTGCGTACATTTCCTCTCCGTTTGCTTTCAATTCTTTGATAATAGCTTCCTTCAAGTCGATTTTCGTTTGGGGTTTTTGTGTTTCGCTTCCTCTCTTCCGCGACTTCTTCTCGTTTTCCGAGTCCGATGATGTCGAAAAGGAGTCGTTCTTTCCTCCGGGATTGAATTCATCGTCGTCGTCGGCGTACCTGTCGCTGAAATGCGAATTTTGTTCTTCATCACTATTCTCTCCTGGAAGATGTCGTTGTCGTGTTGGTTCCGTCTCTTTCTCAGCCTTTTCTTCTTCCGGCGCGATGTTCGAGAGGTTCTTTGTTGATTCAAATTTCTTATTAAAGATCCAGTACTCATCGAGCACATTGATTTGGACTGTGCCGTCGTCTTCAAGTTGAATGAGAGCGAATTTGTCTTGATCTCTTACTTTTCTACTTGTGAATGAAGTGATTGGTTGGGAAGGTGCTGAAGGTATTGCTGGTTGTGTTCCGCCCGATGTAAGGAGAAATGGTGACTCTGATATGGCAAGTTTATAGTACTTCCTTCTTTTCTTCTCTTCTATTTTCTCGTTCACCTCGGGGTTCGGGACGTTCTTCACTAACTTAATTGGGACTTGCAAATTCTCAAACACTACATTCTCAAACTGCGATAATACTATTTCGTCCTCTTTCAATTCTTTATTGTACAACAACGGGACTTCCTTTGACATCGTCTGAATACTTTTTTCAGTTCAGAAAAGGAACTCATTTTGCTAGGATCCAAATAACATTTTCTTGCGACCAAGAAAATGTTTTATATAACATTTTAAATACCACAAATTTGATTATTTAGAAATGAAGGACCATTTCGTCGTGTAAAATGATGACCTCCCGATCCAATTGCTTTAACTCTTCGCAGACTTTGTTCCAACAATAAGTCTTAATATGTGAGGCATACACTTTGACTGTTTTGTCGAGGAATTGAAGACCTTTTTGTAAGTAATTTGGACACATATGACATGAAGCATCACAACGATCTTGTAAAGAATTTTGGAGGGAGACTTCGGAGATTACAGCTTTTAAATTCTTCACTTGAAAAAGGGCTACCCAAAATGGCTCATAGTAACAAGTGTCTGCGGTGAAGGCAAATGAGGAACTTTCATTGGAAACGATGTATCCAAAAGTGAGAGTGGAGTGTTTCACCTTAATTGCAGTGATAGTAATTCCATTGGTTAATGTGTGAGTCTCGCCGTCTTCTATTTCATTGTATTCATAAAACTTGCGCTCTATTAAATTCATCCAGAGCGATGGCTTGAATATGGTGTCTTCCATTTGCTTGAGTACAAGTGAGGAACAATGAAGTGTTGGATGTACTGAGAGAGTCAACGTCTCATCCCAAAAGGCTTCGACTAACAAACACATTCCTGTGATGTGGTCGATGTGAGAATGAGTAATGGCTATATCTTTCACTCTTTTGATGTCTTCGAGACTTAAACGTGTTAAACCAGTTCCCCCATCTATTAATGCAATATCCGTCTCATTAGTGTAGTCCCCTTTATATACCATAAAACTTGTTGTCTGGTTTCCCATACCTAAGTTTCCTCCACATCCTAAGACACGTACAGTTAATGACATGTAACTCTGTTTTTAATAGTTTTATTATTAAGTTGAATTATTTAATTCAAATGAATTTTTACATAATACAATTCCATTGTTCATAAAATTAAAAAGGTTTGAAAAAATTGATGTTGCCATATATAGTTGCTTCGTAACCGATAATTTTATTATCAAAAATTAGTATCGAAAAACGCTAATAAAACGGGAAAGAAAAAAATTTAGCCTTTATGTTAGCCTTTTTCGATACTTATTTTTGATTATATAATTCTCGGGTATGAAGCCTAATAAGTAAATCCTTGGTGGTTATATTTTCTTTAACACTTTCACAACCCAAAACTTTTTTTTAAGAAGAAAAATAAGTAAAAAGAAAATTGTCCAAATCATTTTTTATTATTTTTATTCAAAAACCCCTTTCTAACCCAAACCGGCCAATAGTCAGTTTTATTTTACTTAAAATAATAAACAAATGAGAACTCAATTACCTAAGATTGATCAAAAATAATCTTTTTGGACGAAATTTCATATCGCTTTATTGTGTTACAACATTAAAACAAAAAACGCTACATCGACAATCCACTTAATAACAAACAACGTCAAATAGTCACATTAACAAATATAACGACAATATAAACACCAATATCGTTATAATCAAATGACAATATTCTCTTTATAAAAAAACAACCAAATATATTAAACCATCATTAGACCCCATCTTTCTTTTTTAAGCTTTGCTCTTGTTTTACACAAACAAACTCATTCATGTTTATTTGTGTGACTATAAAATATACAAATTCAAATTTAAGTTGATAAAAAAAATAAAAAAATTTCAAAAATTTGTTTTGTGTATGAAGGCAAAAAAAGGGTTTAGGTAAAAGAAAAAAATAAAAACTTATTATTATTACGTTTCTGTTTTGAACGTGTTAAATAATATTATGTTATTTGTTTTTTTTTCGTTTTTAAACAGAGATAACCAACATTTAATCACAAAAGATATTGGTGATTAATTAGTTTCACACCAAAAACAATGACAACCCGACACACAAATCGCTCTTTGGTATAAATTTGTAATCATTTGTAAACTCATTCTCTTTAAAATGTATATTATAAACAGAATATACATTTAAAATGTGGACCATTTACAAATGTATGTGGATGCTCTGCTAAAACTTACATTTATTCATTTTTTGTACTCACAGTCGACAAATCTCCAGTTACAAAACGCTTAAAACAAAGAGCATGAAAGGAGTATAAAAATGCATGATCCCAAGAATACGAAAGTGTATAAGATAGATGTATATTTTTTAAAATGTACCCAAGTATAAATATTGATAAAAGTAGTAAATATTAAAATATTAAAAACCATCTAAAGACTTAAGCAGATAAAGGTAACACGACGACACAAAATAAATCAGAGTCAAGTAAGACATGTATTGATGATGGATGTAGGTTTGGTCAAATAATCATATTTTGTTAAAAGTTAGTCTATTAAATGTATGTCTGTTATACTCTTTAAAGAAAATAGTTCTTTCATTATATTGAAAGCATCCATTTTAAAACCTTTTGTTTTTAATTGAAAAATATACCAAAGCTTAAAAGTGGTATTATTTATCGACTCGTTTATTTATTTAATTGGCTGAACATTTGAAAAAACATAAAATAAGACTATAATAAAGTACATTTTTATAACCGTGTTTAAGGTTTTCTATACACTCACTATACTTATTATTAATCAATTGTGTTATTATTTAAGTCGTTTTTAAGTGTATGACTTTCACTATATTATATTTATCGTGAAAGTTTAATTGAATAACATATCATTAAACACAAAAATGTTATTTGTTTTTATGAAATAATGTTTTATCAATTACACCCTTAACTTATATTGGTTAATACTATAATTATAAAATTTATATTAAACGATTTTAAAAGTAATTCAATTAACATATTCAACATTTTTATTAAATTGTCAAATCCGAACATCAAAAGATTTAATTGAATACTTTTATTCGCAAATAAAATTGTTTATTTTTTCCTTAAACAATTAAAAGGA